TTTGTACATTCAGTGTTAAAAATGGCTTAAAAAAAAAAACTGAAAAGAGAGGCCAGGAGGTGGCGTGGTTGAGGCACTGGACTCCCACATGGCCAACTGTGGTTCGAGTCCTGGATTTGGCGGCTTGAAACTACGCGGGGCATGTGTGGGTGCATGAGTGCACAAAATCCTAGGAGGAGAATGGAGAAGGGATTGCAGCATGGCTTTCCCTTCTAGGGGGTGATTTTTCACTTTCCTTCTCACTATCTCTCTGTTTTCTGGTGAGTGCACATACCTATGGCAAAAACCTTAAAGAAAAAATGCTGAAAAAAATTTTCAAAGACATGGAATTAATTTACCTATTCTAAATGTTTCCTATAAAGAATGTTTTCAAGCAGTTGTTTTGATCGTTTTGTAGACATAATAATATATTTAAAAAGCATTTCTGCTCTGCTTCTGTCAATTTGATGAATTAATTGCCTTTTGGAGTAATTATGAGCTCAGGATGGTCATTATGGTTTTTTTTTTCATTGTATCTTAATAATTTTCATGATTTTGTTAGACTGAACATCAGAAGATCCAAATATATAGACCTTGACAGTAGGTTTCTTGGATGTGATTAATGACTTTCTATTTGTATTCAAGACTTGAAGTGAGAGTTTCATTAATCTAGGGATTTACTACAATACAGATCATTTTATAATCTTTAAAAATCCACTGCATCTTAGAGTTAGCCATACATCCTTTGAAAGTGTGAGATATTCGTGAGGTCTGTTGATTTCCATATTAGGAATCCTTGTGTCACATTCTCATTCTAAAATACAGTAGAACAGAATTTAAAATTGAATTACACTCACATTTAACCTTTAGGAAATAGATTCTGCTGGGAGTGGTTGTAGTGCTTGCTTGTATGCCCAGCTACTCGATAGACTGAGGCAGGAGGATCTTGAGTGGATTTGGAGAATTAGGGAATGATGACGACCAATTTCACTTTCACTGCCCTCAGTGCATGATTTCCATCAGCCCCCTGTGGACATAGTCTCTCATCTTACCACTCTTCCTGC